AAGAGTGAGGTTTACGTAAGAGGGTTCTGGAGTCGCCACAAATGTTTTTACCATAAACATTGGAAAAGGAAAATAAAAGAAGACGTTAGTTTAAGAAAACCAACTTTGACCATTATAACCAGTGTTGGGTAAAGAAGTTAGTTACGTATGGGAAAGGTATTAGCACCCCACAACACCTCTTTCGGATTTCCTATGATAGAATAATTCATAAAATAAAGATTAAGAGAAATTATGCTTCTACCCTATTTATTTATCTACTTTGCGGAATTTTAATTATCTACATGGTCCTAGTATCTAATGCATACAAGGAAAGCAGTAAAAGAAATCAGTAAAAGAGAAGAGATATGAAGAAGAATCTTCGAAGTGAGCTTTTATAAATCTCGTACTTGAGGACGCTTTTTGGCAATCCCCGCACTCTATAGAGACATTCCTCCCTCGAACAGAAAAATTAAGAACTATACTCTTCGAGTGTCAAAAAATCACTCATACTCTTGAATAATGCTCAAAGTTGCTTAGAAGTCCAAAAACAGGTCCTCAAAGCATAAGAGAGTGGAAAGGTGCGTGGAAAAGTGGATAATGAGCCTCCTATTTATAGGAATCTGCACCAGGCAGACCGAGATGCCCGTCTGGTAACTTGTCAGGTGGGACGACTGTCTGGAAAGTGGGACGACTGTCCCAAGCTCAAAAAAAGGTGGGACGACCGTCTGGGAAAGTGGGACAGTCGTCCCAAGGTTGAATGAAGGTGGGACAGCCGTCTGGGAAAGTGGGATGGTCGTCCCAACCTAAATAACAAGTGGGACGGTCGTCTGGAGATGTGGGGCTGTCGTCCCATATTTTCTGATTTTTCTAAATTTTATTTTCTCAAAAATCTCTCATATTCTTAAATGGATCCTAGTGAATGCTACTAAGGACCTAATGGAACCTTTAACCATCTTCGAAATGGAGTATTTCTGAGATCTACTAATTGGTCAGGCAAGATTTGGGGTCTACAGCTGCCCTCCCTTCAGCTACCAGATCGACTGCTGGCGAACGCTATAAGATCGGATGGTGGGTGAGGAGTTAACCCTCTTACCCAGTTGTCCTTCGAATGCTCCCTTAGTGCGGTAGCTGACCCTCTAGATGATGAGTGTGAACCTCCAGGATGCTCCTTCAATACGGTAGCTGACCCCGTGATCGATGAGTATGAACCTTCATCAGGTGTGATGTAGCCTTGGGATGCTCATTTGATGAGATAGCTGATACCGTAGCTGACAAGTGGAAAACCTCAGGATGCTCCTTTTATGTGGTAGCTAACCCCTTGGTTGATGAGTCTGTCTTCTGGATGTCCCTTTTGCTGCAGGGGCTGACCCTTTGGACGGTGGGTGTATATAGACTTTTGTCTTCAAGATGCTCCCATGTTGCAGAATCTGACCCTTCAGGCGATAAAGGTAGATTGTGTCTTTAAGGTACTCTTTTGTTGTAAAGTTGATCCTTTGGATGTTGTATGTAAATCCTATTTTCAAGATACTCCTTTGTTGCGGAGCTGATCCTTCGAATGATGGATAAGAAGATATTGTCTTCAGGATGCTCCTTTGTTACGAAGTTGATCCTTTGATTGATCTCAGGATGCTTCTTCTATGAGATAGTCAATCCTTTTATTCATGAGTAAGAAACTCTGTCTTCCGGATGCCCCTTTTGCTGTGGTGGCGGCTTGCTGATCCTGATCATGCGCCGACTCCGTGGGGAGTAGTTCTTTGTTTGGAGATTGTTTTTTACTTTTCTGGCGTAGTCATCTGGTATGTCGGGGATTCTTCTTTTTAGCTTTTCCGATTAGTCATCCAACTTTGTTGATTGCCAAAGATTTTTTAACGAATTTCTCTTAAGTAGGCAGGAATCCGTTGGGGATTTATTGATTCTTGATAATGCCTCTGAGTAGGCAGATGCTTCAATGGAAGTGAAGACTTAGTGTTTGCACTATTTTGCCTCTGAATAGGCTAATGTTCCACTTGGGGATGTTGATTCTTTGCTCGCCAGGTCTTGCCTATGCGCAGGGAAGCGACTCTCTGAGGATGTGAATTTGGAGATTGCCTTTGCAGTATGCTCACTGGGATATGTTTTTCTTTTTTGGTTGATCTACTAGGAAAATGGTTCACTTCCTGGGGGATCTAATTTTGGTTGTCCCCTGGGGAATGAAGTTTTAGCTCCTTGTTCGATGTTAAAGTGAGCTAGTCTTTGTGAAACTCTTATTCCGTCAGGGAAATGGAATTTCTGATTCTAGATTTTATTTTTGACTTTTAAGGTGATCCACTTGGAGATTTTATTGGCCTTTCTCTGTCGTGACCCCTTTTCTCTTTTGGACATCCGCTAGGGATGAATGGTTTTTCTTTCTCTTGAGTCCCTTATTTTCTTTGGAGAATATGATGGAGATGAGAGCTTTATTTAACCTGCCAAATGACAATGGCAGTTACCGCTCATAAATCAAAAGGTTGTAGTGATAAGTCTGCTGCTATAGTCATAGTACAAGGATTCACAAGTCAATTAAAAGGATGGTGGGATAATTTTTGCTCTAAACAAGATAAATTAGTTACTTTAAATAGTGTAAAAGCATAAACTAATCAAGAAGACATTGTATCAACACTAATCTATTCAATAATCCAAAACTTTGTAAGATATCCTAACATATTTAAAGAAAGAGTTGCAAGTCAATTAGCTAATTTGTATTGTCCGACAATGTCAGACTATAGAAGGTATAAAGATAATTTTTTATCTAAGACAACTTTAGGAGAAGACGGTTTTACTAATTTTTGGAAAGAAAAATTTATAATTGGATTGTCAAGATTATTTGCAAAAAAAGTAAAAATGAATATAGAAAAATATTATGGTAATCCTATACCTTATAATTCAATAACTTATGGTCAAATTCATAATCCAATTGAAATTGGAATCTAAATTTGTACTGATTTTAAAAGAGAACTAAGATCTTTTCGTCAACAATATGATTTAGAACCACTTAAGGCACCTAGTGCAAGGAAAAAGAAGGTAGTTAAAAGAGATGGAAAAAATGTATAAAAAATCTTATAAAACTCCTTATACAAAAATGATAAAAAACCAAAAAATAAGCAAGAAATAATAAAAACCCCAAGAAAGTTAAAAAATTTAATAAAAAGAAAAATATATGTTGAAAATGTGGTAGACCTCGATATTATGCAAATAATTATAGAATAGCCTAAAAAATAAATCAAATAAAAAAATTAAAAATTAAAAAGAAATTTATTAAATATATTAATAAATTTTAAATCAAGTGAATCTAGTACAACAAAAATAGAAAAAACTGGTAATGACATAGAATTAGAACAATTAAAAATAGAGAATTCGGAAGAAATAACCGAAGAAAGTGATAATAATGAACAATTAAAATATTAAAATTCAAATTAGAACTAAAGATATTAAAAATAATAGATTGAAAATATATTAAAAAAATTATGTCAATCAACAGCAGAGAAATGGATACAGGGGAGATAATCGTTATCTTCTCCACAGAAGCTTAAAGAATTCTACAATGATGATGATCAAGTCCCCTACTTATCTATATCAATCTCAAGGGACGCATTTCAGCTTCATGTAGTTTAAGAGGGTAAGAAACAATCACATAAATTAAGATTGCCAATACATTCCTTATTTTTAAGAGGAACATACTTAGAGACTAGTTTCTCATCCTTTCTGAAATGACAAGCCGCAGGAGCTAATATGTGTTTAAGGTTGTAAGCTTTCTCATTTCTGCCTCAAAACTATCTTTTCCCAAAACATTCAGTCCTTTTCACCACTACTGTCACTCACGGCTTTGTAAGAAGATTAATCTATTTATATAATATGGTACAAACCCAATAAAAAAGCTGGTACTAGAGCCTCAAAGACCAAGAAGCACCCTTCCTTCTAGATAAACAGTTAGGAAGAGCCACAAATCCCCATCCGTTGGATCAAGTTCATTTGAGCCAGATCACTATAAAATTCAATGGTCAGGCATGATTTAAGACGGACAATTATTTGTTGTTTTGAAGTTTCGTAACGGCTAAACATAACCCACTGCCAAAATATACACCGTAGTGTTAATATGAGTTGAAAGCTCACCACCAATTTGAGCCGGGTTGAGTTTGATTTTTTTTATTTTTATTGATTATGGACTAAAAATGAACCTAGTTCACTTAACCCACCAGTTTAACGGATTCGAGTCAAGTTATAGTGAATTGGCCCCAACCCACCATTAATTTTAAATTTTAAAAATAAGTATAATAATATATTAACCTTAATTAATTATTTATTTAAATTTTAAAAATAATTATAATATTTTAGTAACCCTAATTAATGTTATCCTGTTTTACTTCTTCTACCCTATATTGTTGATTTTCGCCACAAGCCAAACCTTCACTTAAATTTGTTATCAGTTGTTCGTCTGACCATTACGTTCTTCTGCTGCACTTGGGTCACTTGTCTTATTATCTCGTCCATCACACCACTACACCATGTCCATCGTATTGCTTTCAAAAGTAAGAATTTGTTTCATATCTTGGATTGATAAATCTTTATTTGAAAATTATAACATTTATACATTATTTGTTGTTTGTTATTAATTTATACGTATATTTCTTTAATATATGAATTTTTGACTTCTTTCTTTTAAATTAATTTACGAGTATAGAATCTTAAACAATACATCAAAGTGTCAATGTAAATTGTATTGGTGATAATTTTATTATTAATGAAAAACTCAATGAGTCAATTTACGTTAATAACTAAGATGCTTGATATTTAGAAAAAAGAAAAAAATATAAATTTCTACATCCAAAATTTTTATATAATTTAAAAAATAAAAAAATATATGGATTAGTGAGTCAACCCACCTAACCCACCAACCCATAATAGGTTAAACCAGATTCTAAAATTTCTCGGCAAATAATAAATAAGTTAAGCTCGTCTATTTTGAACTTAGTTTTACATCCCTACGTATTGATTTAGGGTTTAAGGAAGGGCGGAGTGTATGAGTTTTCTGTGTGAGTTATTGTAAATCCACTTATCTATTTTCAATTCCTACTAACAAAATAAATAAAAAAACCATTGCAACACACTATACATCTCGGAGGTTTTAAAAAAATGTATATGAAAACAATAGCGGGGCTTACAAAATACTCACCTCTAATTGGATTCTGCTAGTGATGGTTTTCTTTAAATCATAAATTCCAAGCCCTTCCTTTTCCTCTATTACTAGAAGCTCACAGAGTGTTGCCGTTCGACAGTATCGGAAGTTGAATACAGTTAGACGGACACCGGCACGACTTTACTGAGAGAATCTTCACGTTTAAAGTATCACCTCCGATAAAAATATAAAATAAAATAACACTAACAATAATAATCCATTTAGTAATGCTCTTTTAAATTTAGTGTCAATTAAGTAATACCAAAACATCTAAGTCAAAATCCACTACATAGTAAAACTGATCCTATACTTAAAATAAAATAAAAATAAAGAAAAGCACGAAATAAGCTAAAGATGTGATTTTAAAACAGTTGCAAGGGAAAGAATAATCAAAACCTAGAATTAATTACAGATTAATTAAATTGAATAAGTGGAAGCAAGGTGAAGGAGTGAAGACTTTAACGAGGAAACAAAAAAAGAGAGTAGAAGAGAGAGTTATGGGATATGAGAGTCCGTTTACCGACGTTGGAGGATCCGATGATGCAGATTCCGGGTCGGTTTTGCAGGTCCGTTTGCGACTCGATAGCATCTATGGAAGTTACGGGTTTGGGTTGCTTCCTCTCACTCTACGGTTTCCCCTTCTTCGTCCAGTCTCTGTAGTGTTTGTATCACCCTCCTGCTTTAATTTGGATCCTTATGTATCGAACGGGCCAGATTCAAAACTTTAATAAAGATGAGAAGAGTATTAAAGATTGAATTAGAGTGGGCCCAATCCATGGAAGAGGAGCCAATGAGCAATGCGCACAAACCCATCCCATTGTGTCTTTTGGAGACACTTCGAGAAAACACTCAGTAATCGTAAATTCTGGAAAATAAAACAGAGAGCGCATAGACAGAACAAAACAGTGAAATCAATCATCAGTGACCAGACCAGTGTTGTATCAGAGGCTAAATCAAACTTAAAACCAAAACAGAACAGTGTCCTCTGATTCTGTTGCAAAGTCACAAACCGTGTTTTTTTTTTTCTCATTGTTGTGCTGTGGTGTGTGGGTATTACTCATGTCAGGGAAGAAACCCAGAGAGTTGAACATAAAGCTGCTATGCCCCTCCCTCTCGAAGGTGGCTCAAGTGGTGGCGTGGGAGGACCAGAGAATCGACTTGGGCTTCATTTCACGGGCCTTTGGGCTGGACCCATCATCGCTGAGGCTGAACGGTCACTTCATCAGCAGAGGGGTGGACCTCATCGCTTCCTCCCTCACTTGGAACTCTGTTCTCTCTTTCTTCTCCGCCAAAGGCTTGTCCACTGGCAAAGATCAATGTGATGCTCTTGTCGTCACTGGCAAGCTCTGCAAAATTGGACTCAAGCGTATGTCTATTTGGCTTTCACTTTTTCCCTTTTTTTTGAAATTTCAATGTTTTATATGCATATTGTTAGTGAAGCAATTGAAGGAGGAAAATTTTCTGTTGTTTTTTGATAGATAATTTGGTCACCTTTTGTATATGTTGTTGACAAAGATTACTTTTCTCCCATTTACTTTGGGTCCTCATTTTATTTTAGTTATAGGTATATGTATTTCGGATTTGAGGAAAGATGAACAATGTGATCACTTGAGGCATTATAATTGGAGTTTTACATAGGTTCCCGCCATGTCTTTATATCTGCCCGGACATGAATTCCACAACGTCTCACTGCATAGTCAGTTATATTTTTTTGCATTGGTAGTGATAGTGTGCTGATATTCATCTTTTCTGTTATTTCTATTTTCTATACAGGATGTGTGGTTTATTTATAATTAAGAAGAATGTATTTTCCTAGATACATATTTTCTCCTTACCTAAATATAGTTGTGATCATGCAGGACGACATGACTCACTAAATTTTCAAAGTGGGATTGGCAAGATTATGGAAAATGAGAATGCTGGTAACATTAAAGGAATTCAACCGGAAGCTATCAACTTGTTCAAGAGTAAGAAGTTGAAAGAGAGCACCTCAGGTACACTATTCAGTTCCATGATTATAAATAATACTTTACGATTGTGTTGCCATACTATGTATCTTAAAGCTTGTGGTATTCAGGAGTTACCCTACAAGTTTGTAAACATTTGAAAAAGATAAGTAAATATTTTGCAAATTGAAGTAGTCATTCTGTGTGAAGGAATTTTTAACTCTACTTTTCTATGCTCTTTTTAGCAGGTGATATTCTGAATGGCCAAAGCTGCAAGAGAAAGCAACTATTGGAAGATGTCAACCTATTCAAGAAGCTAAAAATAAATGAGGACAAGTGAGGCAAGTTCAGCATTCATTACATTTTCTTCACCAAAGTGGCTAAACTTCTCTTGGTTATGGGAACATTTTCACCAAAGTGGCCAAACGTTTTAGCACGAGTTCTATCCAATTTTTTTATGTTGCTATAAAACTTATAAAGAATATGTAGCGATAAAAGGTGTAATAAGAAGTAAAATAGGCTTGTATTGACCGAGGCATGCGAAGGATTGTGTGTAAGAATATTTTGCCAACAGAAACATTACTCTTTATAATATTCACGTATTTGTATCCCCACATTTATAGAGTATAACTTTATCAGATTCAAACCTTTTTCTGAAATACAGAGACCAAATTGTAACAAATATTAGGCACACGGAAAACATTATTCTAAAAGAGAATTTTCCCATTGGTGAACTTTAAATTAACATTTTCCTTTACCAAGAACACTATCTGTTCTAGGTTTGCCAAATAATGAACATCCCTCTCCTTCTTCCGTAACATTGCAGAAGTAAAGGCATTTCTGTTGGCACAAATATGCTTGGCAGTCTAATAGAAAAGGGGAGAGTATTGGGCTCACAATCAGTGTAGAAACCATTTTCTCTTATTTCTGGTCCATTATCTATCATAGATTCATAGTCCTAGAGGGCAACATGTGATTTCTACTCCACCACAAGATTGGTCTTAGAAACAATTCTGTCTTGACTAGGATGACTTTGGCATCAATAATGGATCTTGACCATTGATTTTGGGAGATCAAATAATATATTATTATTAAATAATAAAAGAATATGAAAATGTGAGAGACCAAAATTATAAATATTCAAGCATGTATATTTAATAATCATTAAGTTTGAGAGGTCAAAATCAATTACAAAACTTTAAGGGGTCATGACCCCACCATGGCCACTGTTTGGCAGCAACTAGTTGGTTGTTTCTTTTCCTGTATCTAAATGAGCAACAGGGTGTCCTGGTTTTCCACAAACACAACAGCTATTTTTCCTTTTGCTGGTATCTTATGTAGCGATCTGTAGTGATGCTTGTGCCTTGGACCATTTTGGAAGTTCTAATTCTATGGCTGCATGTTAAAGTTTTAAGTCAAAATATGTCCATAAGATTTTTTTTAGTGCCTAGCTCTTTCGCCTTTTCTGCATCGTTCTGCAATTTCTTTTTCTCTTCAATCATGACTATAACTTCTTGTAGATACATATGTTTGATCGTTATGGTGATTCATTAAGTTCTTGTAGTCTTTCCAAGAGTCGGGAGGTTTTCCAATCAATGGTCCTGCAACAAACTGTTCTGACACTACCATCTCATTTGATAATTCAGAACTAGTAATGTGATAGTCATTTTTGACTTCAAAGTATAAACATCTCTTTTCTATAATTTTAGCGTAGTCAATAAACATAAATAACAAGTTGACAATTTGAGTGACGTAACTGTCCTATTAAAATATTGATGAGGATGAATTCCACCAGTAATAAGTCAATCAACACTCACACTTTTGGATATTATCCTATAGATTTCTAATTATAATCTTGATTAAATTAAATCTTTCTGTTTGGCCTAAAACTAGTAGTTAGTTCCTGCCTGTGTTCTAACTCTCTGAGCAAATTGTATCTAAAAGAATTTCTAGCCACTGAACAGGTTGGTTTCCCTAATCATAAAGTTAGTAGAGATTTTATAACTCTTTTATAGCTTTGAATGCAGGAGAGGATTCAAGCGGGTAAGAGACTCCTTGAAGCAAAGCGAATTGCTGAAGAAAATGAGAGAAAACGGTATCTTATTGTTCAGTAGTTGCTTCATTTATTTTTCTATAAGGAGATTAGTTATTCCAAGTTATATTGTTCTATCCTATAATCAGGAATTTAGCCCTGAGAAAAGCGGAAAAAGAAGAAGAGAAAAGAGCTAGAGACAAAGTTCTACAGAAACTAGAGCAGGATAAGGTATAAAACTAATTTTCTAATAATATCCCAACGGGTTTGGGACAATTTTGAATAAACTATGTTGGATTTGACAAATTTCATTTTCACAATGATATATAGTCTCTGCTGCAGTCCCAGAATGGTACTGCATCAATATGAGGAGGCTAAATATGCTTCCATTGTGTTAGTATTAGATACTAATGCATAATGTCAGTTAACAACAGACACAAACTGAAAGCTAGTACCTTATCTTTGCATTGATTTTAAGGAGATTGTGATATGAATCACAAGGGTTGATTTAGGATCTTTAGGGTTAGAACCTTGTAAGAAATTTAGGAATTAGAAAGAAGGTGGAAGGAAAGAATCACTCTTCCCAAGGAAGGCAACACACAAAGGATGTGAAAGTCCTTTGATACAGCCAAGGGTTCTTGAATCACTCAAGAATTTAGGAGAATCACTCTCACTAAGATAAAAGAGATAAACTCTAATATTTCTGAATAAAATTTCACTTGTTATTTCTTGATAAGAATGGTTCAGCTGATATAGAAGCGTTGCCATCAGAATTACAAAAGACTCAATAAAAGAAAATAAATATTAATAATAACCCATTAATCTAGGAATTGAAAACTATTTAATGGAAACAAATAAAGGTTAATAATGATCCATTAACCTAGGAATTGAAACTACTTAATGACTGATTGTATCTGAAACTGTGGCAACCAAAAGTCAATCAGCTATGCACCCCTTGGTCTCCCAAAGGCTGATGACTAAATTTTCAATTGGGCCCTTATTACAACTTAAAACAAAATCAAACTAAAGCCCATTAATTGATTAATCCAAAACACAATTTGGTCAACCAACAATACTTGTTGAAGAGCTTCCTTTGTTCCCCTTGCTCTAGCCCTTATCATAGGTTATGTTCACATCAGATTGTACTATATAAATTCCTTGAGACTAAAAAATTATTAACAGATTGACAAATAAGTGAATCTTTTTTGTCTATTGCTGTCACTTTCCAATTATGCATTCAAATGAAGTATGATGTCCTTTTGTAAAATTATATGGTTTTTCACGCTTTAGAGGAACTGACTACCAGTTTCCTGAAATAGATTTTCTTTAATAACATAAATGTAGCAGTTTAGAGGTTGATAATGAATATAGCAGTGGCTCAGACTCACAGAACAGTTGTTGTTTTGGTTTGGGGTTTTACCAGAACATCACCTAGTCGGATAAGACTTTTGTTGCTGTTGTTTTACCGAACAACTTTTGAAGACTATCTTTCTACAAAGCAGTTGCTGTCCAAATATCTATTTTGACATTCTATCATAAATTTTCCGCGTTCCTGTAATTGATAAATACACAGTAAAGGAATTGTTTGTTTTACTACTTATGAGAAACGAGGGAGAAGAAAATGTGAGTAATATTGCAAAGAGCATTTACAACTTGACATGTTCAAAATTGTTCAATGAAGAAATTGCAGATTTTCAGTTCAAGGGTTGCATTGGTAGTGTTTGTAACTTTTTCCACTCAGAATTAGTATTTGAATGTAGTTTTTAGTGGATTTGATCACATTTTTCACTCATAGATCCTGTAAGCATGTTGGATAGAACCGATGTTTTTCTTAATTACTAGTATTTATCAAAGCATGTGAAGAAGAGGATGTACAGTTTCCAAAATATTGTACATGATAAACAACATAATGTGATAAACTTCCTCAATTATGTAACGTTTTCACATAAAGGAACTTCAAATAAAGGGTGGTTCATCCATCGGTAGAAAGTACCCTGTTCAGTAGAAAAGGGTTGCAGTCAAATTTTCTTCAAAATATGAATATCTGAGTACATGTGAATACTAAAATGAATCCATTTTTATATAACTTTACAGTTAAATTGAAAATTTGAACAAGGATTGCCTTTAGAAGGTAAAAAAACTGTCAGATCATCTGCTGTTGAAAGGAAACAAGGAAAGGTATGATTAAGATCTATTTTATTATACTATGAATCCTTAGTTCCTTGCTTAAATTTCCCAAAATCTAATAAACAACTTTGTTAGTAACTCTTTTCACCCTCTTGTTGTGGAGAACAAGTTATCAAAATTTAGATAATTTTTACTTTAATTCAAATTGCAGAATTTGAATCCTGTTTACACAACTACAAAAGCTGAGCAGTTAAGAGAATATCTAAGGAATCTTAAGCGTCACCATCAGGTGAAAGACTCAGCTTTTTTCTCATGACACATTTTACTAATCTTTGATCTATAAACGTAAGTAGAGACTAATTCTATGAGGTGGATCTAGGTTTATATGCATGATAACACAAACCAAACTCAACTCTTGACTTGATTGTGTCTGGTTTTTAAGCAAAGTTTTATAAGTGAATGCATCTTATTATATAACACATAAGAACATCACTCAAAATAATGACATGAAGTATTGTATTTTCCTTTCTAAAATTAATAGAACTACTCCCTTCATTATTTTCCTATATAGATAACTTTTCTGATAGAGATGATACTTTCACTTTTTCCTTCTTTATTAAGTCAATTCTAAAATTTTGTTTAGGGTGAGGGTGCCAGAGTCAGAAGAGCCTTTCGAACACTACTAATCTATGTTGGAAATGTTGTCAAGAATCCCAAGGAGGAAAAGTACAGGAAAATCCGACTGAATAACCCATTATTTCTGGTAATTGAGATATGTTTTTTTCTTAACAAACATATTTTCTTGGGAGTGGTAGGTTCATCACGTTTAATCAAGCAAATTTAACTAGAAAAGTTAAAGATTCAGTGTATACTAGATATGTTCTTCAAAATTCATTAAGAACACATCTGATACAGCCAAGTCCTTCATTTTGAATTGGTCATTGAAAATTTTATTTTCTTATTTCAACCATTATGATCTTTTGAGAAATGCACCATTCTGGTTAAGGGGAGGACATAAATAAACTTCTGATTAAACCAGTTTTTTTTACTAACAATGTAAGTTTCTTACACTATCATTTAATCATAAATTGACATATTAGCTAAGATTTATATATATATATATAATAATTTATTGCTGACATAGTAAAAAAAAAAAAATTACACTGATAGTGTATAGAAATTAAACTCAATTTTATTGTATATATTCTTTTCTACATGTTTTTTAACAGGATAGAGTTGGAAGTTTAAGTGGTGGTGTAGAGTTTCTTGAGCTATGTGGTTTTGAGAGAGGTGGTGACTTCTTGCATCTTCCTGAAGAAAAGGTTGACATGGCACTGCTGAATTCAGCTGGTTTTGTCTTAAATTCTGCAATTACAAACCCTTTCTTTGGACTTTTAAGTACTACTCACAATTGAGTATGAGTGAGCATAGTCTACAATTAGTTTAAAAGAGGATAGCTCAAGGCAAAAAAAATTTATATACATTGTTAAATGTTTATCATGGGAACTAATGCAACTTATTTTATAGATTTACATCACTGAGTTATTCATGCTCCTCACCAACCTTTATGACAAGTAATTAATATTCATTAATTATTTTATCTCAAATAAAAAGCTTTAAGACGTATATGAGGATGAATAGAAAAACTGATAACTAATGAATATCCAAATATAATGAATACGGTTAACGAAACATATACGAACATCATAATGTGTAGATATCCGTAATTTGCTAATAATTTGTATTTAGTTTATTAAATATTAACAATCGAAGATTTGTTTAGGATTTAATTTTACATATTTATGTTTTTATTTATATTTATGAAATAAAGTTAGCTTTGATTATTTTTTATTATTATTTTAGAGTAAAAAGAGTGGAAGAAGGGGCAAAGTAGATAAAAAGTTTGGAAGTAATTATAATTGATTAGAAAAATAAAATATAACTTATATAATTACCAAAATATCCATTCTGTAATGATATTATTCTAATCTTTTTTAACATTTTTCACATTGAAGAAAGCGAAAGCCAGAAAGATAGAACTTAAACAACAAAATACTTCATCCATGCTTGGCATTTTGGTATCAATTTCAGGGTATTGAAAAGTAATTTCTTTCCAATCTGATCCTTACATCGTTCGCGCTGAAGGCATCCAGCAGATGCTCATGAAATTTTGAAAAATGGGGCATGTAACCAAACCTATTCACTCTCAAATCCACAAATTAATAGGTACAATTTAAAAAGTTGCAGGATATTGACGGGTTTAACCAAATAAACTCCAAAACTATCTTGATTAATGTCTAAAATAACGGAAAAAATAAAAAAGGAAAATAATCAAAGAACTATGCTATTACACTTGGGTTTAGATCCTCATCACCGACCACTGTCCATAACACAAGTTCCAGCTAAGAATATCAATAATTTCCAATACATGTTAGACTTTCGACTCCAATGCTAAAAGTATCTTCTTTCTTGGTCCCTGATAAAAAACCAAAAAAGCGTAATCATAATGTGTTAAACGAAATCAAGATGGGAATTACTGAATGGATTACAAATCAAAAGAGGATACTTGATATTAAGTACGGCAGAATGAAGTTATATCGCCAACATATTAGTAAAATATTTATCCTAGGAATACATTAAAAAACAATGTCTGAAATTCCAACCCAGTGAAGGACCAAATCCTCGAGATTAACGTACAAATAATATCATAACCATTAAAATTTAAAAAATACGATAATTGCAATACTTAAAAACAAAACTTTATGTGCAATATTATTATAGGTACTTTTTGGATTTTTTTTTCTGGCGTAGCATTACTTGAATATAAATATTTAAGTATAGCATACTGTGCTTAAAATTTACACGATTAGCATATTCAAGTATAGTATACTGTGCTTAAAATTTACACGATTAGCACAATTTTGAAAAAGTATGGGTTGCAAACCAAATTCTGACATATATTTTTAATAAATTTTTTAAAATAAATATTAAATATATATATATATATATATATATTAAATTTTTATTTATATAATTATATCAAATCAATATAAATATTTTTTTACATATCATAAAAACATATTTATATAATTATATTATTAATATATTTTTATAAATATAGTAAATACAAATATATTTAATATATATATATAATATTTAAATATTTATTTATCTTTTTATAAATATAATAAATACATGTATATTTATATATTTAATAAATATATATTTATATCTTTTTATATACATAATAACATAAATTATATATATATATATATATATATTAAGTATAAATAATATTTGTTTTATAAAAATATATAAATATTTTTATTATATTTGTATATATTTATAAATCCTAAATCTTAAATTCTAAACTATAAATATATTTATACATTTAACAAATACATATTTATATTTTCTTATATATATATATATATATATATATATATTTACATAATATTTAAATATTTATTTAATAAAAAAAGATGTTTAGTAAATAAATATAATATTTATAAAAAATAATTTTATTTAATTTTGATACAATATAAAATAGATTTGATATAAATATTTTGTTAAAATTCTGTATAAATAGAAATTTTAATTAGATAATTTGAGTACGATATACTATTTGAATTAAAGTGAATTGATATTTTAGATATTAAATCAATAAAATATGAATAAGCAACGAAGCATGAATAATCAAGTTAGAAAAGCACAAATAAGTAGAATAATTATTTATTTAATGATTATAATGTCATATTACAAAATTACATATGAGAAGTTTCCCTAAGGCTAGCATTATGTGGACAATGATTTCTTGTGTGACCTGGAGTGTGACAATAGGAACATTTCTTTGGTTCACAAATATTTATTTCAATCCTAATTTGTGTTGACTTTGGACAACCCTTGAATCTTCTTCTTGTTGCTGGGTTGGGGCAAAGTTGTGGGCCTTGATGTGATGACCAATAATCTTTGTGTCTAAGCTCCCAAACAAATTATCATACATTTTTTTAACTACATCCAACCTGTAAACAGGATTGATGTACATCTCATAATCATGGTGATCATGTTTGCACGCTGCAACCACATGGTAGGAAAGTTTAGGTAGTTATATGAGTGGTAGGAGAGTTTAGGTAGGCATGTGAATAACATAAGAGTTATGTAATCATGCGAAGGGTAAATAAGTTTAGATAAGCATGTGAGTGGTATGCGAGTTAGATAGTCATGTGAGTGATATGAGAGTTAGATAGTCATATGTGTGAGTGGTAGGAAAGTTTAGGTAGACATGTGAGTGATATAAGAATTAGGTGGTCATACGAATGGTAAGTAAATTTAGATAGTCATATGAATTGCATGAAAGTTAGATAGTCATGTGAGTGGTAGGAGAGTTTAGTAGACATGTGAGTGACATAAGAATTAGGTAATCATGCGAATCATAAATAAATTTAAATATATAAATATATGTATTTATTAAATATCTTATTATATACATATATATATATATATATATATATATTATAAATCCATATTTATTAAATTTATTTAAATATTAAATCTATAATATTAAATTTATTTGTATTTTTCTAATATTGTAATATATATATATATATTTATATTTATAAAAGTATATATAAATATATTAAACATATAATTATACAATATATTTTTATTATATATAAAAGTATATATTTATTATATATTATATTTAATAAAGTCATAATGTATATAATAAAATATAAATATGTATTTATCATATTTATAAAAATATATTAAAATATTTATATATAATTTTATATTATATTAATAAAAATGTATTTATCATATTTCTATACAAAATATTATTTTTATTTACTAAAGTTATTTTATATTAAAAATATATTTAAATAATATATATATAATTTATTTATATAAAAATGTTATCTAGAAAGATATAATATATTTATTAAATTTTATTATATTTATAAAAAGATAAATAAATATTTAAATAATATATATATATTAAATATATTTGTATTTATTATATTTATAAAAATATATTAATAATATAAATATATAAATATATTTTTATAATATGTGAAAAAATATTTATATTGATTTGATATAATTATATAAATATTTTTTTTAAATATATATATATATATATATATATTATTTATTTAAAAAATTATTAAAAATATATGTCAGAATTTGGCTTACAAGATACCAAATGCTATTTTTTATCAAAAGTATGCTAACATTTATATTCAAATAATGGTACGCTGGAAAAAAAATTCTACTTTTTGTGCTGTTTATTTTAACAAAATAACGAAATTGGAAATTTTACTAAGACCTAAGCTGACGTTAAAGGTAAACCATCTAGTGTGTGTTACAAATGTGAAATTCTAATTCTACCTTTATGGAGTGAGAAAACATCATTCTTTGACCCTAAATCTCTTCAAAACGCCGGAGAAATTTTTCTTCCATGGCGGAATCTCTGTAGTAACCAGCCCGCGCGCCCACACACACAGTGACTCACTCACTGCGCATTTCCAGACGCACGGAAGGGAAACAATCGATGACTCTGTGACGGACGCAGCCCGAAAGTTAGAAACCCTAAGCCCCTGTCGCTGGACCGCCGCCTTGCTTCACCTTCTCTGCTGTGGTCTGAAGCTCTCTTCTGTCGTGCTGCACTCGCTGCTTCATGCACGTTTTCGGCGTTTGCGTTTGATTATGAATCCCTAGTTAATTTTTTTTTTTTTTAACCTAGAAAAAAAATTGCTTGTAAATTTGTAAACTGCTTCTTCATTGTATTTGTGCAATTAAATTTTGTCCTTTTCCAATCTTTCTGATTATTAGTTGTTTCGAATTTAGACGGCAGAGCAAGAGAAAATAATACGTGAGCTTCTAGTAGGAAAAGGAAGGGCTTGGAATTTATGATTTAAAGAAAACCATCACTAGCAGAATCCAATTAGAGGTGAGTATTTTGTCACCCCCGTTATTGTTTCCATATACATTTTTTAAAACCTCTGAGATGTATAGTGTGTTGCAATGGTTTTTTTATTTATTTTGTTAGTAGGAATTGAAAATAGATCTGTGGATTTACAATAACTCACACAAACAACTCATACACCCCGCTCACCCTTAAAACCTAAATCAACAGAGGTGTGTATTTTGACAGTGGGTTATGTTTAGCGATTACGAAACATCAAAACAACAAATAATTGTCCGTCTTAAATCATGCCTGACCATTGAATTTTATAGTGATTTGGCTCAAATGAACTTGATCCAACGGCTGGGGATTTGTGGCTCTTCCTAACTGTTTATCTAGAAGGAAGGGTGGCTTCTTGGTCTTTGAGGCTCTAGTACCAGCTTTTTGATTGAGCTTGTACCATATTATATAAATAGATTAATCTTCTTACAAAGCCGTGAGTGGCAGTGGTGGTGAAAAGGACTAGAGTGATGAATGTTTTGGGAAAAGATAGTTTTGATGCAGAGATAAGAAAGCTTACAACCTTAAATTAAACACTAGAATATATTAGCTCCTGTGGCTTGTCATTTCCGAAAGGATGAGAAACTAGTCTCTGAGTATGTTCCTCTTAAAAATAAGAAATATATTGGCAATCTTAATTTATGTGATTGTTTCTTACCCTCTTAAACTACAGGAAGCTGAAATGCGTCCCTTGAGATTGATATAGATAAGTAGGGGACTTGATCATCAGCATTGTAGAATTCTTTAAGCTTCTGTAGAGAAGCTAACGATTATCTCCCCTGTATCCATTTTTCTGTTGTTGATTGATGGATATTGTTGACTTTGATGATTGGTGATGAATACTAGGAATATAATCTGAAAGATATTGTGATATATTTTATTACACTATTAAGAGAAGGTACATAGGTGTGCATATATATATATATATATATATATATATATATATATATATATATATCAGAGTATTAACTAGGTGTCACGTATACAACATCCGTCATCCATCCCTAACTGAATTACGCAGAGCAATTTAACAGAAAAGTAACACGTATACAAAACAAAAACAAATAAAATCAGAGAAGCAAAACAGGAAAATACACCCTAACAATTGGAAACTGAAAAACAAAAGTGAACTCTGGAAGTTGAAATTACGATCTGTATCTGTAGTTATCCCCCTATTCAATCTGGGATTATATAGTTTTGTATGATTTTGTGTTGGTTAAAACACTTGATGTTACGTGAAATGTACATGGGATTTGATACTTAATTATGTTTTTGTCATTTTGACAGTTCTTTTTTCCTTACATTTGGTTTTTCCGATGAACTGTTGCCATTTGCTAATTAGGATTTAGACCTGGCTGATTTCAGTATCTTTTTGCCATGAACCATATTATTTGTTTTGAAGGCTTGATTATGGTATGGACTTTTCTGGTTCATATTCTTTGCCCTATTCCTCATTTTACTTGCTAAAACCTCATTTTTATGCACTGAAAAGCAAGTAATAGTTGGCTTACTAAAGAATCAGAATCAAAATAACTTGTATCTCCTACTGGCTTAGCCCTATTGGTTAAAGCAATTTGCACTTTCTTTTTTGGTTGTATTTACACTGGACCTTAGTTCTCTGTAATTTGGTTCAGGTTCAATGTTCTATCTCAGTAAAATCGAACACAAATTGCCCCTGCCACCTACTCGTCTTGTTCTTCCCATTCGAGAAGCTATACACATGGAGCTTGAGAAACTTTTCTTAGATAAGGTTTTTTCGTTGCTACCATTTTCAGTTTCCATTTTGAACCATTATTGTGTAATTTACTTAATTTGCTTGGCTTCATTTTTGTTTTCTGTAATCATGCCAGGTTATAGCAAACTTGGGCCTTTGCATTTCTGTCTATGATATCAGATCCATTGACGGTGGGTTTATCTTTCCCGGTGATGGGGCTCCAACCTATACGGTATGAATTCATGGGTTTGTTTTTATCTTGTTGATGTCTTGCATTTAATGAGAGTTCAAAGTTGAACATAGACTATTATGTTTCATAGGTCATTTTTGCTTCTCTTAACAAAATAGTTTGACTTTATTAGTAGAAAAATTGTTCACCTGAAGTTTAAACCTTAAGTTTTGTTTAATGGCCACAAAAATGTGGATATGCTATTGGGTATGGTAATAAGTTATTTTCTGTATATGGAATGTGCAAAAGGATTGTACTTTATTAGCACCCGATAAACTTTTCGCTAAGTATTTATAAAAGAGAACAAGAAGGTAAAATTAATTAAGCTACTGTTAGTTAAAATCAACTTATCACTTTGCCTTTTATCAAAGTTCTCGTCTAATTATCCGAAAGTAATGTGCATAAATGATTTTGATAATGGAAGAAGTCTATTTCTCCGAAAGTAATGTGCATAACTGATTTTGATAACTGAAGCAGTTTGATTCATTGTACTTTTTATTTTCTTCTCCTATTGAAAAGTTTATCCAAACAGTGCCTAACTCACTGCTTTTGGTTTGATATCAGAAGTGACAATGCATGTGATTATGTCTATGCAATGAATAAATTCTAATATTTATGGCAGGTTGTGTTCAATATGGTCATGTTTCGTCCATTTGGGGGGGAGATTATTACTGCTAGGCTTCTTTCATCTGATTCTGATGGCTTGCGATGTATGTCTCTGTTTTAGCTACTTGATTATTATTTTCTATTGACTGCATAATTTAGTTTCTCAATAGTTCTCTGTTCTATGATGCATATTTCAGGAGAAGAATTATGTTTATGTGCATACTTCTGTTACATATATCTGTTATATTTTACTCGCGGCACAGTACTTTCTGATATAGATTAGAGAAGGGACGTTTTTGTGTTTTCTTCCTTCGTTTTGTTGAGCGGGGCTTTAACATGGGTTCAAAATAGTTTTTCTCTCTTTTTAAATTTAAGCATAATGTTCGTATAATAAAAAAATAAAGACATAATAAATAGGCATGGCAACGGGCGGGGCGGGCGGGGCGGGGCGGGTTTTGCCTCCCGATCCCCGCCCCGACTTTTTAATCATCCCCGCCCCGATCCCCGCGGGGTTAGAAATTAAGTCCCCGTCCCGTTGGGTTTCGGGTTCCCGCCCGTCCCCGATCTATATTATTTTTAAAAAAATAATTACATTTATAATAAATTAATTTTACTATCTATTTTTTATATATAAATAAATATTTATAATTTTATAATAATTATTAATTAAATATAAATTTTAATTTATTATATTTATATTAAAATATGTATGTAAAAGAAATATTTAATCATTTTTTATTTATAACATTATTATTATTATTATAATATCTGTATTCAAATATTTGAATACTTATAACATTATCATTATTATTATAATACTGTATTCAAACATTTGATTATATATATAAGTTAATTCATTTTTAAGTTGTAATTTAAAAATATGAAATATATAGTTTATAATGAAACATTTAATAAGTTAATTATTATTCAATTAATTCAAAGTAATAAAAGTTTAAATTATCAATTCCTTTAATCCTTTAAAATACAATTATTTTATTAAGATAAAATTTGATATATGATAAATAAGAATAATAAGATAAACAAATGACATAATAAAACGTAATAAATATAAATTATAAATAAAATAATATTAGTTACTATTAAGATTTATGTAAAATATTTAGAAAAAGATAAAGAATAAAAAAATTAACTGTGTTCATCAAATTGATTGAAAAGATTGAAAAAAAAAACAAATTGATGAGAGAGATTAAGAAAATATGAAAAACTACAAGGTATAAGAGAGAATAATATAATAAATTAATTGATATAAAAGATTAAAAAAGATAAAAAAATTAAAAAATAGGTAGAAGAAAAATAAAAATTGGTAAAATATAAAAAAATGACCTTATATGTAATAGAAAAAGAAAAGAAAATATTTTTAAAATATTAATATTTTAAAATTTAAATTTAAATATAAAGTCGAGTCGGGGCCGGGGTGGGATTGCATTACCCATCCCCGCCCCGACTTTTTAAAGTGGGGAAAACCCGAACCCGCCCCGGTCAACTCGGGTTTTCCCCGTCAAACTCGAGGCGGGGACGGGTCGGTCCCCACGGGGACGGGTTTAATTGTCATCCCTAATAATAAACTATTTAAATTTTAACATATAGTATAAAAACTAAATAATATTAAGTTGTAACAAAAAAGTAAATAAATGTTAACAAGTAATATAGTAAAATACCCTAAACCCTAATTGTTATAATAATAATAATAAAAATAATTTCAGAATAGAGGTCATCATGCTATTCACTAATTTTGGGGTTAGCTGGTCCTTGTTGCTACTATCTATGATTGATAACTATGTATTTTTAAGGCTAAAAGTGTGTTCTAAAAGGATAATGTTAGACAAGAATGTGACTTTGCACATGGAGTTGATATCAAAGCTAGTTTTTGTGTTTCTGTATCTGTAGTGTGACACGGAAAACAACTTAAGGTTTGCATCATGCAATAACACCATCCAATGTTTGCATAATTTGAAATATTAACTGATTGTCAATATTTATTCAAGATAATCCCTGCTTTATAATACTGAATCTTTGGTTGCAGTAACTCTTGGATTCTTTGATGATATTTATGTCCCTGCACATCATATGCCCTACCCAAATCGCTTTGTGGCGGATGAACAAGGAAAGAGGTGATGTTTCCGCTGTCTACTTTTACTTCGGATTATCTTTGAACTTAATACAATCAATCTTTTATTGTTATTATTATTATTATTTGTTGAATGTAGGGTATCGTCTAGTGAAGAGTCAGAAACTAATCCTTTGAGGTACTTAAATTTATTTAAGAGGCCGACCTCTCCCAACAGATAGTATTCCTTACATCAGTTTTTTTTATTATTATTATTATGTAATGCATATATCACTATATATGATCAATATTATGCTTATTAGCTGTTATTAAATTTACATTAGGAAAGGCGATTGGTATTGGGATTTTAATGAACAAGAATATCCTATTCAAGAATCAGATGTGGTTAGCATTTTTTGCCTTTTCTGGTAAACTGTATGACTGGAAAACAAATATGCTAAATTTTTGTTATCAATGTGGCAGATCAAATTTCGAGTTCAAAATGTGAGTTATCCGCCAATTCCGGTTGAGCAACCGAAAGAGTCAAAGCCATTTGCACCTATGTTGGTTACTGTAAGTAATTTGTTGTTCACCTAAACATTGTTTGCCTGTATATTATTTCATGAATACTTAAAACCACATAAGAAATGAGATGTATGGTAGCACTTAACGACCTTTGTTCAGGATTTTCTGTGAATACTTAAAACTGCATAAGAAAGATGAGATGTATGGTTGAACTGTACTACATACTGAAAGAGGCAAAGTATTATAGTAGTGTTATAAAAGAAAAATTATTGGGATGGGAAATTTCAGTATCTTGAAATTGTGTGTTGGGAGTTCTGATTTTAATTTTAATTTTAAATATTATAGTTTTTCAGATGGGAAATTTATTATAATTACAATTTTGGTTTAATAATAATATTTTTTGTTTACTTTTGATGTATTATTTAAGATGTTTTATTTTGTTTATGATTTTAATAATTTGATTTAGATGGTTTCGCAGCTTCATATGTAGCAATTGATGCATAATTGATGACGAATTATGTTCTTCATTGCAAACATATTTTCTTTCATTTTTGTTAAGTTTTACCTTGGTGTTGCTAAGATTTTGTTCTGAGGGGGACATGATTCGTGGTAGAGGAACATACCACGTCTTAAAAGATTTCTTCTCAGTGTTTCCTTTATTATTTATCCCTATGTTTCTACTGAAGTGTTGTCTATCATATGCATCATATTATTACTAGTACTTTTATTAGGTATCACATACATCTTAATTTTGGACTACCTGCAGAGGAGAAAAGTTGATTCCCTTCTATTCTAAATTTCTAATTACATCACATACAACTAGTATAACAGTATTGGACATTAATGGAATAGTGACTTATCACGGTGTCTATTTTGTAGGGATCGTTAGATCATGATGGTCTAGGCCCTGTATCTTGGTGGTTGGAATAGATTGAGGAGGAAGAGGAGGCTGAGTGAAGGTGAGTTCAAAAGATGGTGAAATTTTCGTCAAGGATCTCATTCCTAGGTCTTGTTCAGCCTAGAAGATTAGGCTTAGAAGTTGGTTTGGGGTCCCTGAATATTAGGTCTTGTTCAATTACTCTACTTTGTAAAAAAGTATTTTATTTAATTTATTATAATCATTGTTAGCCTTTCAATTCAGCGTCCTGACAAGAAAAGAGTTAACATTTGTTTTGGGGATCCATAGTTTCACAAGATTTTTCGTAGATCCAATTTTATATATATATATATATATACAAGGAAAAAATAAATAATAAAAATAAAACTATAACTATAACTTTTAGTTTTAAAATTGGTGAATATTTTTCATGACTTGTAATATATATATCGACTTTTGAATATTTTCTCTCCTATATGATTATGTAACAAAATATATAATATATATTTATATTATATTTTATTTTATTTCTTTTAATCATATGTTTTTTTTTTTAAATTCGAATATAAAATAATAAAAAATGTTTTTTCTTACTTCTTTTATTATATTATTCTTTTTATTTTTTTCTAAAACTTTATTTCATATTTATATGTTTTTAACAATTCATAATTTCATAAATAAATATTTATATTTTAAAATTAATATATACATTAAATTTAAGTAAATGAAAATAAAAAACATAATAAAAAATACACATACATGAGTTTTTCTTAATATTTAATAACAAAATTTAAATAATTGAAAAAATATATTTGATATTCAATTAGAATAATAATTCCTTTTTAATGAGAATTGTTACAAATAAGATTCTTTGTTTCACATCTTACACGAAGTTAAATATTCAAATAAACTATAGTTAATTCATCTTCGTCCTCAATTACTGAAAAAAACTAAAATTTTGAATTCATAGTCTAAATTTATAAGTAAAATTGAATAGATATTAAGACCAATACAGAAGGACATGAATTTAAAATTGATTACTGATTAGAAGATATAAAGAATTACATTGAGTTTACTTATATCAAAATATCATATCTTTCATTTGTTTTTTCAATGACGTGTATAATTTTTAGAATTCTAAAAATCTACGTTTTATCTTTTCAATTTTGCAAGAATTTTTATGTAAAAACATCTTCTAAAATTGCAACCATTACATCACCTCTATTCGACATAATTTTTTTAATATATTTTCAATCTATTATTTTTAATATCTTTAGTTCTAATTTGAATTTTAATATTTTAAAATAAAAACCTAACTATCACATCATAAATTATTTATCATAAATTCAAAATATAATTATATCTACAATCTTAATTTGGATGATTTTAATATCAACTCTAATTTTGAGTGTTTTCTGAAAGTTATAAAAATATTTCAAATATACACAAAATTTATTATCCTTTAATCTTATATAACAGTTATTCTTAATGTAGAATTATAACCATCATGATGCTTATATATTCATAAAATCCTTCCAAATGTTTTTCATTCCTATTATATAAATATGCTAAATGTAACGACGATATAAATCGTTATTATAATGATAACTTCGCAAAATAGTAAATAAATAAATAACAATATATATATTACATTATATTACCGTAATTGTAATATAGACTGAAATCTCGATTCATCGGTGGAACCTTAGAACCTAGTAACATAATTTATTTATACGGATACATGCAAAAGTAGCTCACACAAATCTATCCCATCGAACTATCCCCGTTGTCCAGTAGTCGCATCTTCACCTCTCAACTCCCGATCCGCTCCCACATAAAAGTGATCATCGCAGTCTCATCCACATAGAAAAATCGGGGTAAGTATTAAATCATTCGATATAATAAAATAAGTATATAAGTAATAATTACATATTATCATCAATTACAATCATCAATACACTAAGATGTCTTCCGAAAGTCGACCTTAACTATGCCCGAACTCATAGGTTATCATCTGTGGGCACATTGTGATTGGCACCCGCAGTACCATTCTGACCACCTTCCACACAAAGTAGGATTACTAGCGCCCTTCATCACTCATATTGGAGTACCCCTCCGAGTGCGCCACCAGTTATCCTCCCATCGACTTCTCACCACCTGATCTCGTAATCTACCTGACCCGACCAACCAATGAAGTTTGGGACCTCATTCATAATCCTCCGACATAGTTATTACACTAATGTACTCTGTACCACCCCGGGTACCATTCAAACACAACAAAAATCATTCACATCTGCCGGATTCTGGATCACCTGTCCTCAGGGCTCGTTCAAATCAATAAATAATAGTACTTGACTGATTCTGGGCACCAACCCTCCGGCTCAGTCTAGTCAATACATAACATCTCATGATTGATTATGGGCATAAGCCCTTAGACTCAGTCTGACCCACACATGTAACACCCCTTACAGATTACATTTATTAATCCTAATTTATTATTTAAGTTAGTAATATTTTTTATATTCATAAAAGGTTAATAGAAAATATACCAAGTGAACAATTAATTTAGGTAAGGTTTTATATTAAATCAAGCAACAAGTTCTAGTACAAAGTTTTCAAAATATTACAAGTCATAAAGTTATACTTATATGTTATACAATTACCAACCTAAGCTCTGGATTTTTGCATCTGACATCTATCTCTTGGACTATGTATTCCTGCATCATACGTCACCAACATCTCGGGATTGAAATATTTATGGGGTTAGACATTTAATTTTATCCACAACAAATAAAGCAAACATTCATACGATAAAATCAACCAATGAAACATTCCTTCTAATAAATATACAACCATATATAATTTAATTTAAAAATTAATTATGAGAAACAAATAAATAAATCATGGAATCATAATAGAGAATATCATATAAATCATGAATAATCTACAATTTCATCATGCAATATGTTTATGATATGCACATGTGACTCAAAACGTAAATCTTTAAAATCATGCTTTTGACTTAAAATCAAAAAATTATTTTTGACTCAGTGCTCCATGGAGACTCATTTGAGTGTCTAGTGGAACCAGAGCTTAACATCACCCTGTCCGGTGATTCGGCAATGTCCCATTAAACGCGAACAAGTAGACAATAGTCAGAGTGTTAGTGCACCCGATAGGCTACCACGGCACAGAATCAAATAAAGACTGACCACTTATGGAATTGCCCATGCCCAAACACTCCCTAGACCAGAGGTCCATCCCCATAGACCAGAGGTCCTGTCTTACCTATTCTACTCCCCCATTTACTATCAGAGATTCTGGTAGCTCAATTCTTAATAATTCATTCTCTGTCTAATTTGACCAGCCATTTTCATAGTCATATTCCACTACTAGATGCTCTTGATAGTAAATTGACTCACATAAATAATTTTAAAATTCTGTTTTGCACATCATTATTCCTACCAACCGTCCTTGGTAGCAATTTAAGAGAAATTTCCAAATACTTTTCTGTGACTTCCAGAAAACATTTCATGCACTATGTTTATGTCTTGTATGAAACAAAACAATCTATCATCAATTTAAGTACTTAGAAACATCTCCTTCATGTATTCAAAATTTCAATTACAATTCATAGTTGTTTTAAGCAAGATAATTTCTATTAATAATTTATTTCATAGGGTTCAGTATTTTATCCATATCTTGAGTTCTAGACCTCCTTTTAAGATGATTTCAATTGTGTTGGAAATATAAGACAATGACCTATAACTTTGATGAAGACACAATCCTCAAATTCTAACGTTTACTAAGTCGTTTTCCTAGTAAACAAAGAGGAGGTAATATACTGTTTGACTTTATCTCTATTATACCCTTAACCTTTTTCAAAATTCCATTTATGTCCCTAGGTTGTAAAATGACCATTTTGCCCTTTAACATTTCCTATAATTCCATCCATGTCCCTAAGATGTGAAATGACTATTTTACCCTTAATCTTTTTCAAAAATTCCATTTATGTCCCTAATATGTGAAATGACTATTTTACCCTTAATATTTTTCAAAATTCCATTTATGTCCCTAATATGTGAAATGACTATTTTACCCTTAATCTTTTTCAAAATTCCATTTATGTCCCTAATATGTGAAATGACTATTTTACCCTTAATCTTTTTCAAAAATTCCATTTATGTTCCTAATATGTGAAATGACTATTTTACCCTTGATCTTTTGCAAAAATTCTCACCTAGTCCTTTCTTCTTCATTCGCTACCTTGTAAGCCATTTTCAAGATTCAGATTTTCCAATTTCTCAATTTAAAGCACCCAAATTAGTTCTAAATCATAATTAAACATACAATATGTCCAAATTAAGTCAAAAACAACAATTTTACTATATAATTCATCCTTAATTTCAAGAATTTCATCAATATTTAAAACTTTGCAAATTATGAATAGTAATCATCTCCAGTACGCCATTTTCAAAATCCAAATTTCAAATTTCTCAGTTTCAATCACCCAAATTAGTTCCAAATCAAAATTAAACCATAAGCATGTTCAATTTAAGTTAAAAACAACAATTTTATTATATACTTTATCCTTAATTTGAAGAATTTCAGCAATATTTCAAACTTTGCAAATGATGAACAGTAATCTCCAATTTCAAAATTTAAGACATTCGTATGAATAAAACTAAACGTCTAACCCATACCTGGCTCCTTCAAAATATTATTACTCTCTTAATTTCTTATGCTCCCCTTTCCTCCTTTCTCTCGAATTCTTCTTCTCAGAATTTTGGTGCCTCTCTGTTGGTTTTGTATGTTTTTATGTAAATAAGTTTTCAAATTTCTTCCTATTTATACATTTATCTTACCGACTTATACTCCTTCTCGAATTTTCTTTAATTTTATTTTCCACCGCCTTATTTCACCGACTCAATTCAAAGGTTCCACTAACTTGATCAAAACTATGGTTCCCGACTACCATTTCTCTCTTTTCGTAAATTTTTTTTTCATAGAAAGCTTACATAATATTTAAATGAATAAGTTCATTATTAATATT